ATAAAAATTATAAAATATTTTCCTTTTAAAATAACAGTTGTACCAAAATATATCTAGTGTGAAATTATTAAAACGTAATAACGTAGCAAACAAAAAATGAGAGTACTTTTTGATGTCCATAACCGAAACATATTTAACATAAATTAAATTTTGGTTTTTCTATTGAAATAGCCATATTTAACGGTTTATTCTATTGTATTCGAAACAGTTATATAATAAATAGTCTTACTACATGTATTTTTGTTATTTTATTTCGTATAATAATGAACGAAAAACTCAGAAAATTCGTTACAACTTCTGCACCAATACTAATTTCACGCTCTATATATTTTATTTGGTGTAAACGTTTTGATACGATTCATTTACGCAATTCACGCGATTTTTACGAAAAAAAGCTTCATCTCATCTTAGACGATTAAGTTCAATTTAATTATTTAACCACTTTGCGTGTTTCAAATTCTCTCTAAAATTATAGATTTTTTTCCTAATATCTATCTACAAATCTCAGTATAAACGTTAGAACGATTCATCTTCCTAGTTTTCTTAAAAAAATACTCATGTAAAAATAAAAAATAACGTTCTTCTACTATACCATTTGCTATTTATCATAAAACGATCCGTTTTTCCTAAGCGATACATTCCTTCCTCGAATGATTAAAGCATTCTTCCTTTATATTTACCTACGAGCTAAACATATTAATGTTTCCTATATAATTATGTGCATTATTATCTGAATTCTAGAAGTTTATTATCGCCATTTAAATTGCCTGTCATTACGTTCTACTCTACATCTCAATTTGCGAACTGAAAAAGACCTGTTATTTACTAAATTTAAGACCGACTAACCAACGCTTGTCGAATGCACTGCTTTAATTTTAAGGGTTATTGTAAAAGACTTTTTAGCTCGCCTATATTTAGGTGTTTTGTTTAAAATTATGCGAAATTTTAATGGATGGGTACATTTTAGTGGAATTATTGCAGTAATGAAGGCGGATAAAATGCGAACTGTAATTGTAAAACCAACTGCGGAATATTTTTACGGCGTGCCAGTGCACCTTATATTTTAAGACTTAAGTTTTAAACGGTATAATTATACGTCTTTACACCGAATGAATTGCTACAAATTATGTAAAAAGGTTATAATTACCATATCAAACCCAGAACAAACTGTGCCTTGCGGTAACGCAGCTTAAAAAGTGAATGAACTTTCATCAGCATAGGTAGTAGTTTCAATTTCATTTTAATATGTGGATTAATGTGTGCAGTTTGAAGGTTGCTTAACCAATCGAATCTTCTACAATTTTGCTCCTTTAAAACTTACTGACCGAATTGTTTAATCGATAAATCAGTCATCTGATCGCAGACAATATTTCATTGATCTGTTTTATTCGATAATTAAAAAACGAAAAATACCTAGAGCCATCGATAATTCGCATGGCGTATTTCTAGAGTTATAATTAGAGAACGCTTCCCGGAATGCGCAGCGAAATAACTGGATTCACGGAAATCATGGAATAAATATTCAAGCATTCGAGGTAACTGGAATTGCGCGTCACCACCGTCGATAACTGGTTGAAGAAAACTTATAGTCTAGTTACTGGTGAGGTACTTTTGTATAGTGCACACTATCCGGATTTATCTACTCCATTACTGAAATGGTAATTGGATAAACTTAATTAATTATACCTGTTGCTGTGTGCATAAAAGTGTGTTGAATAACTGAGTACGTGGTATTAAATAAAGTGAGTTATGCTAGTTTACGTTAGAATACGAATACAATTCCCCGGAAAGTCCGGACTATTAGGAGTCAGACGAAGCGTTATAACGAGAGCAAGCAGTCTCGGGAATTCAACTACTCGACTCGGAAGTTAAAAGAGAGAAAATACCGTTTTATTACAAAATAATCAGCTCTCTCAAACAGATAACGAGGGAAGATTTATTTGTAAATACGTGTAACGTCGGGCGATATCGTGTCGCTGTGGCGACAAATTGAATTTATTTGATTTGAAATTTGTACGTAGAGGTACAAAAATGTGTGTCGGGACTGCAATGTACCAAAAGTTTCATTTCTAATGAAATATGTTTAAAGTTTAAAACAGCGTAACACCTTGAACGAACGTCGGACGTTGTAACAGTAAATTTTACGGATGACAACGATTTAGGTTAATGAAAATAAAAGTTATTACGTTTTTACTTTTTGTTTTGTTTCATCGTCTGCGTTGCATTGATTGTAAAGTTTCGTCGTGTAATATTTAACCCTTTTTGAGTCGACTTTTGATTTGAGGCGACATTTTATTGTTATAAATTCCGAGTTCACGATGGCGGAATCCCTTCCGTTATTTCCGAAACTTCCAGCTACAAAAAGCATAGTTGTTGTTATTATTTGTAAGTTTCAAGAACACCGCTCCCGACGACATCCGTTTTGGACGCGGGCCAGATTAATTTAAACTTAGGCCCTTTTGTTTGCGAACACTTATCCATCGAAACCCATCATCCCATCCAATATCCGACCCACATAAGGTGCAAATTCGTTCACCCGTCGATCCGTACTAAACAAAGGTATCCGCTGAAAACGAAATCAATCAGAATGAGGTCAGTTGGTGCTTAACCTGGAGCATGAAAGCGCCTATACGTTCGATTATGACAACAAAGCTAAGATAATAGGGTTTTGTTGCTTTAATATTTTCGTAAAGAAATTATTGCTATATTCAACTCGTTTGATTTTCAGCTTCAGCAGTTACGTTAAAGTTGTTTAGGCGAGATATATTCTTCGCGATTAAAATAAGCCCGGCTGTAGATTAGGAATTTTTAATTTAGCGCGATTCGGCGAGTCGTTAATTATCAGAAGCATACCTTCCGGTTTGTGTATTTTTTTTGCACCTATTTCCACGCGATTCCGCATTCAAACAAACAATTCACATTGGCGCATCGATCTCCGAAGAGCGGGATTCTCAGGCTCGAAATGGGAATCAATCACAATGGGGGTCAGTTTTGACGGTAGAATTCTCGCTTAACTCCCAGTTTGCCCAGTTATGAACAAAGGTCATCTATCAAACGGCGCGCGAGTAATCATCTCCTAGCGAAACGCACACACGACCTATCCGTGAAAATAACGCTCGAATGGAGCAGTGGCCATGTGAAATATGGTACACAGAAAAGAAAAATTTATTGTTTCAAATGGGGTTAAATCAATTTCTTTGATGTTCAATTTATCTGCCTGGAAGCGAACCGGAACGGATTTTCGGAACGATCTATGCGGTTTTAACTGTATTAAAAGTCAACCGACGGACGTGATGAATAATTCCTACAAATCCTGCAATGGAATAAAATTAGAAGTGTATACGATTCAATATAAAAATTGCCGGAATTATAAATTATAATCCGTTGGCCAAACCTGCAATATAGTAGGAGGAGTGGGTTGAAAAGTGAACCATTACTCTTTGTCTATGGATTAACATTATTAGTAAATAAAAAAAACTATTTCAAGGAATATAGCTGATTGTTTTCTAATGTATTCCAGAATATATTACGCCGAGTGCGTAAACAACGGTTCAAAAAAGTAGGTACAACGAAAGCGAAAGTCCCAGTCTCTAATTTGCGTTCAATATACATTTTTTGACTTTCCATTATCATATTAGCAAAGCATCATAAATATCTTAAGTAAAATCTATCTAAAAATAAAATTTACTTTCAGCGAATGTGCTTCATATGAACGCAGTTTAATCCATGTGCCCCACTTTTCAATTATGAACAAGGAAATTGCAATATATTTTCAGTAAAGCAGAATTTTCCCTTACATTTTGAATTTTGCCAGGTGTTTTCTTTTGTGGTATTAAAATTGAAACGAAATGAAGCGCGCTTGATACAATCTCTGTTGCGCCCCGAAAAGAAAAAATAACATAAAATACACATTTTCGAGAGACGCACGAGTTATAAGAGAATAAATTTGAATTTATACGGCTATTATATTTTCTTTTTGCGTGTAGCGCTCTCGATGGAAAATGGGCGATCATTCTAACCCGTCTCGTCTTATTCTCGGCAGCTTTTATACCAGACGTGACAGTCGCCAGATTGAATTTATCTGAATTATTTTCTGAAATACCGATTTTGTTTCGTTTTTTTGATTTCGGAAAAAACGGACGCGTTGTCAAGATTATTGAAATTAATGGTCTTGCTGATCCAGAGGGATCAGAAATATTCTTATCGATTTTGTCTGAAAATTTTGAGTATATTGCCCCTCTAGGATGCTATTCGCCTTCTCATTAAATTTAACTGCTTAGATTTTTATACTGGGTATATAAATAAAGAGGGTATAAAAATTTCATTCCAATGCTATCGAACATATCTTTTTTCTTAATATAAATATAATAAAAAAAATATGTTTACCTTTCTTGTTTGTTTTTATCGGTCACGTTTGCGTGTATTACTTTTTCTTGTGAAAACGTCTGGAAATTGTAGGAAATCAAAGGGATATTTCTTTTTCCACGTCTCAAACCTTTTACGTTCGCATACATGGTCGTACGATTTACCGATATTATATAACCAATATAAAAATCATCTACATCAATAGCAAAAAGTAACTTTTAGAATTCTAAATATGTATGCTTGTAGGTACAAAAATATTAAGCAATACAATAAGTATAACTACATATAGTACATGTTTAGTGAAGTGTAATTTAAAAATATGAGTATTTTATGCGTTGAATAATAAGATACGCTCATGAAAATGAGCGTTACCGAAAATTCGTACGATTTTTCCACCTCGATGAACTGACCGCAGTCAAGATATATTTGCGGATCTCTTTTCAATTTATTCAAACATCCCATTATGTCGATTGAAAAGCAACCGCATACATTTGAAAATGCGCTGAATCTAACATACATATTTGATTATTCCAATCTCTCAGAAGTATAGATAAGTTTACCAATAATACAACAAACATCCTCGAGAGTCGCAACCAAAATAACTATAAGTATTTGTATATTGCTTCGTTTGTTAGGTTCCAAATAGAAATCCATCCATCGGATCCATAATGAGCATCGTGGAGTTCAGGCGATTCGATATTGCTGCGGCAGATCGGAGCAGAGGTGTTGCTCACCAAAATCAACTAGACACCTAGTGCTCACGACGCCATGAAGCCCATAACATTCGAAAACCTCCGCCGATTAGTCGGCGGGGGTAGAAAGAAAAAAGACAAGGAATCGTCGTTCAAAAGGAGCGATTCTTTCAAACGGATATCGATTCGCCGGAGTTACTTGGATCGCGGCAAGAAGAAGCACATATCGAAGTTGGAGGTGTCGACCCAGACTTTGCCCGAGGACGAGGAGGAGTACGCCGAGCCGAAGAAGGTGTTCTGCTCGTCGATGCAGATAGAGAAACGCGACGTCGGAGTCGCCACGAACGATCTCACAATCAAAAACGAAACAAAGTGCAATAATAAGTACAAAGTGGAGCAGCAAAGTAAAACCGGCCCGGGTCAGAGTGTAATAGCGTACGGTCAATGGCTGAGGGGCATCAGGAAAGATCATCCGATTTCCAATCCTACGGGCATTAAAGGTTCCGAAAGGACCATCATTTACGTGCCAGCTTCCGACGAAGTATCCGCTCCTCCTGTTATAAGACAATTGTCTTCGTCGCCGGTGCTAAGGAGAAAGTCTCCGAATTTGAAAAACAAATCCAAGCAAAAAAGTCCCAATTTGCAAAGGAAGGAAAGCAACGATTCGGCCGTTGAAATGTTCCCTTGGGGAGACAGTACTGATATAAAAAAATCTCCCTTGGTCAGAAGAAGATCGAAGCAATCTTCTGCTCCTCTCATGCCTGACGCCAGTACCGAAGAATTGTGTTCGTTATCTATTAGTTTAGGAAGGATATGGATGGACGCTCCTCCTGGAATGGCGCCGAGAAGTTTGGAATTACCCAAAGCGCCCGGACCTCCTGTACCGGCTCACCACTCTTTGGATAGCGCTTTAAAGGATTTAAGAGACGATCCCATTGTTATAAATCGTTTACAAAAAAGACCTACTCCACCGGTGGGGAGGACGTTATCGTCTACTAGTAACACGACTGCATCGACGGGACTGTTCTCCAGCAAGGATTCCGGATTTTCGTTTTCAATTTCCGCTCCTAAACTCAGCGATTTCCATTCCAATTTCGTACCAGTAGCTTCTAAGGGTTTGTTCAGAAAGAAAAGACCGAAGCCAAAGTTGTCGGTTAGTAGGGACGGTTATTTCAAACGGACTAGTGGTGCTTTAGTTGTAGATACGAAAAGAAGCTCGGTTCGGCGAAGAAATAGCGGCAAAAAGCGTAATAAAAAGAAGAAAAGCAAAGAAACCGGATCGGTCAGGAGCGATTTGTACCAAGTAATCGTCAGCAGACCGTCGAAGTCTCTGCGCGCCCTAAAATTAGATCCGATGATATTCGTGCCGCCGGAAAAGCGGAAAAGCGTCAGCCGGAAGCCGTCTTTCAAATACGGATTGAACGAAATCCGAAATTTAAGTCCGTTGGACAATAGCATATACGCCAGCAGGAGCGCTTGCAGTACGGACGAAGGTTTGTACGAAAGTCTACCGGGCGATTATGATTACATGTCGGACGAGCACAATCTCCCTTACAACGTGTCGCGTTTGAGCCTCACCAACGACGAATACGAGAACTTCGCCTGCGGTTCGCCCATATCGGGCAAATCGACGGCTAGTGTTGTGGTCAGTGATAATACTAATGATAGTTCTAAGAGTGAAAACCACTACGTACCTCCGGGTGTTTCTCCAGTGCCAAAAAGGAAGCCAGTCAGACAGAAAAAGACGGGCCTAGCTCACAAACGTAGCATCACGTACGTGGTCAAACCGACGATTATTAGAGCTCCATCGACTCTACGAAGACCTACGAAAAAAGGTAATTGTTTCACCATACTTTTTTTTTAAATTAGATACCGAATGCTTTTGCAGTATTTTATTGTTTGGAAAAGAGTGGTGAATTTTTCAACATTCATATCTGGATTGGATTAATAAATGTTCAGTTTTTAATTTAATTTTGTATTTACCTACAGGCAATTTAATTGCGTACGTATACATCATACTTTTTAATTTTGTGAGTGTATCGGATGTAATCGGATTTTGCGTTTTATACAGAGCTAATTTTTTACCATCAACAAAATACATATTTGCAAACGCACAAATTTAATTCAACACAGGCATTAAGTAAACTCAAATCTTTTTGTTTTAACGAATTATTTATCAAACTTTAGCATATTTTGTATGCTAAATGACTCCATTAAGCATGGCTTTTTTGCGAATTGGCAGTTTTAATCTGTTCGTACATTGTCTATCAGGGAACGTGAAATATAGAAAATTGATTTGAGGCTTTAGGTCCGAACATCACCAGTAAAAGGGTATTAACTTAATGCCCATTATAACGTGGAATTGTCGAAAGCTGGTATGCACAGCCAAACGTACAAATTAGGCAACTCCATAAACCTGGGTTAATAAAACCGGATTTCAAAGATTAACGTTACCGAATTAATGGTCGAACGTAAAATAAATCTTTATAATTGCTGGAATAAATATGGACGTACGGGTTTTCGGGTGTCGAATTGGAAATTTCAAAATCAATATTATTTTATCGGGTAATTTAACGTGAATCGGTCTATGAAATGAAATTGTTATAATTGTTATTGTTTTTGTTTTATATTTATGAATTATACACAAAATTTTTATAGCAACACAATTCCAACTGTATATTTCGTAATTTAATTCATCCCATATGCTCCATTTTGTTCTTTTATAATCGGAGTATCAATAAATCTAAAACTTCATTACTTGCGTTAATTTTTTCATTTCATTCCGAACGGAATTTAATACCACTAAACTAGTCGTTATGCCCAATCAATTTCGCTTGTGTCAAATCAATTATACTAATAACATCTGTAGGTAGGTTATATTCTAGTGCGATTCTACGAAAAACTCGATACACAGCACGTCAAATATAAGGAAGTCGTTTCAATTGAATGAGATAATTCACGTAACAGGACTGTTATTACTCTATAAGATTTATTCAAATTGAAAATGTTATTGTTGGGAAGTTTTTATCCTCGAGCTAGAATGTGAAATATCTACGATGGATAGGATTTTTTTTTGTTTCTGAACCGCGTTTAGATGTTGATTGTTTAAATCGAAAATTAAATTCTCATTCAATTAATAAGACAGTACTTAATTTATCGTTTTCACATTAAACTAAAAACAATTTGGCATTACAACTGGTCCACTAATAGAAACTAGTTTCTCTGGTTATCTGCCGTTATGACCGTTGCCAAAACTCAATTATCTTACGTTGCATTTCCTCCCGAATTATAATCCGTTTTATTTACCTACCGATATTTCCCTTACCTTATGTAAATGCTTATTCCATGTAGACGTGTTTATCTTGAGATAACCTTCGGGCTGGTACGCCGAACTAAACGGTTCAAATTTGCCGGTAATCTGATTATGGAACGAGCAAGGATGAAAACGGGAAATTCATCCTGCGCCGCAAAAGCCTGCCAGATATTAACTTAATAACCTTATAAAATTAACAATACCTCTTCCATTATTAACATTGTCAAAAAGGCGAACAGGAAGTTTTTCTCTAATCGGTTTAGAAAAGTAGGAAGTTTTTTCTTCGATCTCTGGACATTTTGCTCCTTAAAAATGTATCCCTTTCTTTTACGAAGCTATGAAATAGTAAAAGTTTCGAACTGCTTCTATAGGAGTGTAATTAATTCCAATCGATTAGTTAATGCTGTCTTTAAATTGCTAATACAAATAGTCGATTCGTAAGTTTCGCAAGTCGTCGCTTCTAAAAGAAATCGTAGCCGATGCAAATGCGATAAAACTATCTAGACGAGCGCGTGTATTTTTTTGTGGGCTGCCTTATCAATCATCAATAAAAGTGAAACACGCGAATTAAAACGACGCTAATCTCCGTGGAATATTGTACTTCGCTAGCCCGAGGGAACCGATATTTATACGATGTGAAATTTTCTTTATGAAGATGAAAGCTAAAATTACCCCCTTTGGGCTATTGGTTTTTTTAGGACCGTGGGTAAATAGTAAATATGAACGAAAAAACGAACACTTTCTGTAGGTATTTGTAGCATTCATGACTGTACATGGCGCTCTTATAGTCGTCTGCAAGTTTTGACATATTCAAATAAGCGAGCTTTGTACGATAAAATGGAGAAGAAAATTACGCGATACATTACGAATGACGAAATTTTCGATGTACGCTCGATAATGGCGTAGTCGGCTCGGTACTTAATACCTGTCAGGAGATGCTAATCTCGATTTATTTGCTTTTTGATTCGAAACGGAATGAAAAACGCGTGCAGGGCATCCATCTTCCCAGACGTGTACAATATGATATTTCACTTTCACGTATTACATCTCGGCATCGAATTCGTAGAAAGTATTATACTCGCCCACGTCGTTTAAATGCTCCTTTAATAAAAGTAAATGCGAAATTACGCAATGGAATTGATAAACAACGGGCGATCGTCGCACTGTGAGCAAGCTCGCCGTAAAAAATCCACTTAATATCCAAATTTTGTTTGAAATTCCTATAATTCATTTTGTCCAGCTATACGCTTAGTTTGGTACCGGTAAGGTGATAGCGATGGTACTACGTAACGTTTATGGTCGATGGTAATATAACGTAATATTTGGGTGTGGTTGGAGTTGTACCGTTTTGTCTAATGGAGAGCTTGCTTGCACTGTGATGGCTGCAGCTGTTGAGAGTACTTTAAATGTACAGTAAAATAAGCGATACGTGCTCAAATGAATACGTTCTTGTAACAGATGTAAAGGTTAGAGAGGGCATTAAGTTAAACAATGACCCGCGCGTTCGAATGGGTTATCTTTAGAAGACTTCAAATGTTCGTCTTTAACAATGCCGTATTTCATGGCATGGATTTAAATTTTTCATATTCCTTATGAACATTAAACTCTCAGGAAATGCATAATGTACTTCGATTTTTATCGATGCAAAAGTACGTGGTGGTCTATTCGATTTCGTTCGACGATTTTTCATATAGGTTTATAAAACGAAATAAAATGCATTAAACCCGTTTTACAGAGCAGCGCACGACTTTGCAAAAATTAGATCAATTCTCTTTCCTTGATATTTCACAGTTTTCATACACGCGAAGTCGACCGCAGATGCTACGCGAACGATATGAATTTTTCATGAGGATTCGGTTTTCGTTTTCATCAGGTAGCGCTCCGATCGATCGTCGACGGAATTGTTTGGGTTTATATCGATAAATAATATCGTCATTAACAGGAGCATTCGAAACCTGCTGCGTTTCGAAATCCTAAATACGATAGGGTGGTTTTAAAACGTTTTATGCAAATCAGGTATCTCTGTAATAATAAAAATCGATTCAGTAGCTTTTCTCGTATTACGCTATTTCCTGCATCGTGATGTAAAGTCTAGCAGTATCTTTTTGTGATGCAAGTAAATTGAAGTCGTGAATTGTCTCGGTTTATAGACTATCATTGTCAGCTCGTACTACATTCGCGAGTCGCATAGCATGGAAATGATTGTTTATGAAGAAGCGCGCTGAATTTAGCACTCAAATTACTTGTCGATTTGCTAATCAACGTAAATTTTAATAAATTGTTGGTATCCTTGATGAACGTTCAAGTAATATTGATTGCAAATGCACCTATAAATGTCAAAATTGAGTTATATAACGTTTCATTAGACGACATATCCCTATGATCGTAAAGATCTATCTGCGTCAAGCAAGGTGTCGCAAGGAATTATCCCTTTCGTAGGACGCAACTTAATTCATTTAGAAGGATTTACTGTCAAAACCACGTCGAAATTTGTAATAAGTTGATGGTTTTGTAAAGTTAACCGGTTAACTCTACCTACATTAATTTTCAGATTTTTTTTATCTGGGACCGTTCTAACTAATTTACTCTAATCAATTGTTTAAAATGTCGATCTCGTTCCAATTGAAATAAATCACCGCCGAATTATTAATTCTCGTTCAGAGCAAAACTAAAGAGGCCAATTTCATTATACCGATTCACGTCCATGCCGGATGATACATAATTAATTCCACTTTAAAACTTTTCGTTTCTTCAATTCACTCTGTCGACTACAGTAAAGTAACTTCAATGGACAAAACTGGAAATTTACTCTTTCAGGGAACGAACTCTTCGATTGTAGGTAAGATCTCTTTGTAACGAAAAATCCAATACACGAGAGTGCAAGGTAAACGGGCTCATCTATCGAAATTGGATTGTTAGGGATGAAATGGAATTGAATAATTTTTCTAAAATGCATCGCATAAAACATGAAACATACGCTGCTGCTGTACATACTAATATTTATTCAACAAACCGACAGTTGTTTGCTTTTTAATTATTCGGCTACTTTCGCTATATCTTCACTTATTCTCACACGAGTCGTTAAAATTTTTATTTCAAAGATATACTTATGCGTACTTATACGTAATTTGTACGACCATAAGCAGTACTGATTAGTGTAATTAAAATTCGCAAATGTTTTGTCAACTAATATACATCTTACTGGATATAGTAATATCGTGAAATAGATTATTGGCATTCCTTGGACCGACCTTTAAAAGTTCCTCCAACTCCTCGCTGTGGACGCGCATACATTTTATGGTTGCCCATCGAGCAGAAGAGGCTGCGGGGCCTCGACGCAACCCAGCAGAAGAACTCCTCTCGAAGGCATCACGAGGTCACGTTGAGCGTGTCTGCATCGGCGTCGAGCGCCTTCTCTCTTCGTAATAAGCATCACGATCACTGCGGGTGGCGCAACATCAGCGCTACATTCTTCTACGTCCGGTCCGGCGTTGGACGTACGAAACACGTAGCGCGGATACGGAAAAAGCGACGCCGAAATATTATATTTACGGGGCGCGCCAGGTGCTGGGGAATCGGCGGATTTCTTGGACTGGGGCAGAAGTAAATTATAGGAATATCTGCATCGTATATATCAAATTTAACGCCGTTGCAGTTGTCGTTTAATTTTCGCGACTTAAGCCAATACAGCGGAATTTTCGAAGATTAAAACGAACGTAATCGTGGGCATTTTATTCGATTCTTTCTTAATGTATAATTTGAATAAATACCTCCGGCCGTATCTTGTTATCTACATCTTTGACGTGAAACTTGTCTGGATTTCGCTTTTTTTCTTGGCGCGTAGGCTTTTAGTAGTTGTTGGGTTGAATTTGGAAGACTGACAGCCCACTCATCGGCATTAAATGAATTGGGAATTGGCGAATTTCACGGTCAAGTTTAATGACACCGATTATTTTGGCTTGTGGTCGTAAAAGGGAAAAAATTAAAAGTTGTTACGTCATCGTTGAATTTTGATTTTCTCTTAAATTGGATAACAAGGACGATTTTATTTAGTCAATAAGGATTTGAATCTAATATTGTTGTTCGTGGTGCGTGAACTGTGTTTAAACTCTTTGATAATTCGCTGTGTTGTATTTAGAAACGTGACAGTATTGTTGAATTTACTAGCTAGGTATACCTATTAATAAACACCTCTCCTACATTCCCTAGAGTATGCTATTCTATAGTGTATTTTGAGAACATAGAGTAAACACAATAGCTAGGTACATTAGGTACGTTAAGTAGATATATGTTAATTAAAGCTTCCATTAATTCTATGTTGGTATATAAAAATACCCTATGTTTAGAGAATCATATACGATACACCAATATTTCAATACACATTTTTCTGGTAATAAAGCAATTGTAAATAAAAAAAATAAATTATACAACAGTTTACATAAACTAATCGATATTGCTGCATTATATAGAAGCATAACCAAAATTCAGGTCGTTGTTACGGAGACAGAAACAAATACCTGCAATTTATTCATAAAAATAATCACTACACTATTGATGGACAGTCAAATATTTAGTGTTGGTTGCGGAATATCAATTTGAAATACACCCCGCATTAATCATTTTATGCTAAACGCGTTGTTAATCGCAAATTTCCAAGTTGCACTAACATTAATTTTGTATGTATTCATTTCGGACATCGCTAATTTATTAATATAACGCGATACCTATTTATTAATAACTAATGCTTTGACATTAAATAATTTCTTTTTCCGATAATTCATATCACCGTTGAACTTACTACACTATGCAGGTAGTAATTTCTCGCTCAAATGAAGTTCGCTTCTACTACACACGCACACACCGTCCATTAGTTACGGTATATCACGGTTGAAAGAGCCCAACAATATTCGAACACAATGAGTACGACTACATTTACGTATGTTTTATGATTCTTAACAGTTTCTCCATTACGTGTTCACACCCAGTTTATCCGTATGCCTATTTGTCAAGCAAAAGGAACTTATTATAGGGGGTGGGAAACGCTCGAGTGACTGTGCTGTTATTATAACGAGCTACGAGGTGTTGCAATGACGATTAATTGTCGCTCATTTTTCATCCTAATAATTTTCTCTGTATTCAACTGTTGCTTTAATGCTATTGATTGATTAGCGTGAAGTTTGAGCTTATCTAGAAGGCGCGTGTATTTATTTTAGTCGGCGTGGTTGTACCCTCGATTTATTTCCAATAAAACAATTTTTTGAAATACCGTCTAATATCAATCATATTTTACCGCAAACGTACGTGCTTCGGGTTTTCTATTGAAAATCTAGGTGAACTGAAACAAAAGAGATGTATGGCTGTAAAAACGTGTGATTTTTAATACCGTTACTGCAATTTCGTTGCCTTCATACAGATAAAAATGTGGAAATTACTTCGATGCTTCCTTATTGCGTTAATTGCAAATGCGTTTTTATCCCAACGATTATTAAGAAAAATAAGTAACGATTGTTTAAGATGTGTATCGTGTTCGGGTGTAACTGCGTAGGATGCGCATTTTTTTGTTATAGGTAAAGTGAATGCAATTTCTGATTATATCATCTTGTCGTGTTGCGCGCTGAGAAGAGAAATTTGTCTGCACAATACGGTAACACTGTCGATTTTAATGGTTTCTAAATTATAAGAGCAAGTACCGAATGAATAGAGTACTTAATTTTTCAAAAAGCCACCCGGAACTCCTTTACCATCGAGATATCCCATACAGACCGTGGGTGAAAGTGATTAATTGAATCTGAGAATAATTTTTTCGTTCGTACGCGTTGAAAATTTCTTGACTATTAATTGTTATGGGCGCTTTTACTCTCTAAAAAAATCGTTATTGTTGCCTTTGGTTTGGTTAGCAGGAAATTTGCTTTGAAACTATGAAATATTTGGTTATGTGAACAACGCACTCGCAAATATTGGTATTCCCTTTTAAGATTAAGTAAATATATTTAAAAAAATGTGGGAGAAGTATTCTCGAGTCGTTAGTTAAGTCTGTTTGTTTAAAATATTGAATCCATTAGTTGAAATTTAAATATTTACATAGGGAATCGAGTAGCAAATTCCGAACTCAAAGATTCCCAATTTGATTGTAATTACTTATTTGAATAATACCTGCAGTACACGAGTATATTTCGATACCGAGCTTATTACTTTACTTAATATTTAATTAATTCAAATTTGTTGAAAATTTTATAGATTACATCCTGAATTCCTTATTAAGGGCTCGTAGATGCTTTTAAGGAATCAATAACTAATGTTATATACCGTTGGCTTCTCATGAATAAATAAATTGGAATCAATCAGGTCGCCTGTATTATGTTCTTTGATGTTCCTTTGTGAGAAAATAATTTTCCCTATATCCTACATTTTCCATTTTACCAAACTTTTTATTTCGTTATACCAGAGAATAATCTATCTAGGGACACGGGAACATCAATATACTTAACTTGATAGAGAAAAAATCTTAACAACGCAGAGAACTCTCTAATATCTCCCCTTAGATTGTTGCAATAATTCGACCGGGTTTTTCTTTGCAGCCACACGTTATGTTAAAGACATCACATACACTGGTAAACATCTCGGTAAAATTAATGACTACTTCTTTCTCGCCTAACGATCATTATTTGGTTCGTTTCGTACATTTCTCCTCTTTTTTACTTCGATAGCTATAATTTAGAGATGTTACGTTCTCGAGAACGAAATATAAGCTGTCATGAGATACCTGTATTCGTGTTATTAATGAATATGTAAACTTCAATTTTATTACTTGAACCTGTATTAAAATTGTTTTGCCATTACCTTCCTATAAATACAGAACTCACGCGTGTTTCTTATTGGTATAGTTTTAGTTCGTGCAATATATTATATGGATGGGGATAGATAAGAAATGGCCAATAAATTCCCTTTTTATAAAGAAAAATGTACAACTATCGCTACTTATAAATCGAAGTGTTGTGCCAGTACCAATAATATATTGATTACAAAAAACGGGGACGTTTTTTTTTTTTATTAGAACATTATTTTCCGGCTCTCGCGTCCCATCAGTTGCGACAATTTAGATAACGTTACACGAACACCGGAAAACCGTCTCAACAGTTATTCCGGAAAATATTGTGTCTCCGCTACTTTTTTTACGAGTGGTTTATTCAGACACAACTGCAGCACTCGGTCGGTAAATCTGCATTATTGAATAATAAAATGGCGGCCTTAGGAGCGCGAGTTTGCATCGTTCTCTCGGAGATAGAATAAGAAAAAAATGACCGAGGTCTTGAAAGTTCAAGCCGTGCAATTTAATAGTGTACGTTGCCACACCTGATGGCATCTTTACGTACAGGGTGGGCCAAAGTTATTACGCGAAGACTAATAGATCCGGTTTCGGCTATTGTAAGAATTGTTACGGTTGAGTTGGTGATGAGATTTATTAAATGGAATTATAGATTTTTCTTCGAATTGTTATTCTAATCTAATAAGGAAATTTATAATTTATGGTGGAGGTGGTGTAGGTACCTACTAGTGGTGTGGCGTGGAATTTTGTTCGTGAGATATATCCCTATCTCAATTTAATGGCGTTTTAAACTTGGCGAAGTCAACTAAAAACTAATTTCGGAAACAAACTAAGATAGAACAACAACCCAGGAATTTAGTAACTTAGTTAGTGACATACTATATTTACGGTTTTGATAAACTATTTATTACTAAACTTGCCAAACTTACGACTATAAGGTCATCAAGTTCAAATTTCGCTCGATTTTACGCAATGAATATTAAAGAAAAAGAACGAATAACCCTCATACCCATCGAGAAGGATCGAGAAGGTAGAGGTTAGTACTTAGGACCCGTTTTTTTCGCATTCGAACTGGTTGCTCGTCTCAATTACGAGCATTATCACATATCCGAGCGATCCGAAAGGGAACATTTTCATTCATTACCATAAATATCCGCATAATTCGATTTGTCGATAATCCCTCGAGTCGTACGATTTATATGCAGGTGTATCGTACCTGGAAATTAGTATTCGATCGCGTCTAGTCACGAATATGTTCATCAATAGTTTTACGGCAAAGACCAACGGACTGCCGAAGACCTTCGCGCACTCGAACTTTTTCGAGAGGCTTTTGGTTTCGTTTATGCGACGTTGTCAAATGATATAAATTTTCTACTTTATTTGCTATTTACTCTTTTGTTGGAAAATTATTCTCTTTGTGCGCTCTTTTCTTTATTCTACTGCAGAATTCAAGAATAAACGGTAATCACTTGTCTTCTAATTCTTCTATTTGAAATTTGGCAACCCGGTTACACCACGAGGAAATTATACGGAATGATTCGTTGTAATATCCAGCATCGTCCGATTCATCTTGTTTTAATGAAGGCAGATAAAATTTTGGATAAGATTTCGAGGCATTTACACCGCAGCGACAGTTATTTGGTACCGGTCACGGTCGTCCGTTTTAATGATATCCACCTTTTAATTCAATATTAATTTAAAGCTCGTTTCGTTGTTCGAATCGAAACTGGTTATTCGACCGGGAGATGAGCGGATGAAAAAAGGCGAATTAATTCGTTTAA